AGCAGTAGCTCGCTTCTTTACTTTTTTTGTTGTTTTGTAATCGTTCCCCCAAATGGAATCGTGTGTGTGCGCATGGTAGGGGGGGGGGGGAGGAAGTACCGTGCAATACACACGTGGTCGATGGTTCGACCCCGCCCAAAGCTCACCCAACCTTCGCTCTTCCAGGGTCAGACTAACTCGATACGTCGGTGGGCCGCCATGATTCATTATAAGGCCATAAATGCATTCAGTTACCTTAAAGATGCTCGATAAAGTCGAATGAATGGCAGATTCCTTCAGGAATTGACAACGCCTAGAGATATATCCTTTATTCTTTCGTCATTCCTCAAAAACAATAGCACTTTCTAAAGCTCATGCTCGCCTTGGATCTACTAATGCTCCACAACATTCATGAAGAAGATGCAGACGCTGAAGGACAGTATGGCATGTTGTCCTCAAGGTGACTAGTAAGTGCTAAGAATCTTCCTTCTCGATAGTTTTTTACGAAAGTTTTTTTTTTATAGATTAGCTATATGACTCCTATTTCACATACCGAACCTCGTGTATTATTGATGCATATAGTATTTTGTAGCTATGTGCATGCCTTTTGTCGACGACTCCGTAACAGAAATATTATGGAATTATTTCCAGTGATGTAGAGTGACGTGCACAAACTTTTGCGTCAGGCGAGATCCGAACCCCAATCTCACTCATCCGGAGCGCGTGCTTTAACCCGTTGCACTACTGACGCCCACTATGCGCACCACTCTTTCTACGCTATAACGCATCTATCTGTCAGCCGCCAACCGTCAACGGCCTGGACCGGGTAGTCGTGTCGACATTGAACCCAGTCAACCTGACAGATATTGGGTGTTGAAATGATCAAATCAAACTCTTTTTGCTTTGACCGCTTTTAGCGGGGTATGATGCTTCAGATATGGAATTATTTTTCGACTGTTCATTGTACATAGTTGTTTGCCATAAACAATTACGTGTATATATTATTATATATGAAATAAACCTATGTACACTCCTCCAATTTCACTGTATTCAGGTCGTTCCATAAGTTTTGGCCCTAATACAATAAACACCAAACTTATTATCCAGAGGTAATCGGAATCTCATGACTTCGGCATCGTTCAATAGCGCATTTTCTTGGAAACATTCTGTTATACAAGTTGCCTACACTTGCTTTGAGATGGAGGTGTCATGGGAACAGATTCGCTTGCTACTCACCGCAAAAATGGCGCGTAGAGAAAAACGTTAGTGAAGCGTCGCGTAAGATTAATGGAGCTTCGGTGGGCGCCCGAGGGCGACTGATCCGCTAGGCTGTTCTCTCCAGCTTTGAACTTCGCGAACCATTTCCTAGCCGTCTTTTTGCAACAGTATCATCGCCCCAAGCTCCATTGATCTTACGCGCCGCTTCACTAGCACGTTCTCTATGTTTAAAAGCTTGATACAAGGCTTAGACAGTGTGTAGCGTATAGCATAAACGGATAGCGTAACTAACCAAGCACTTTATTCTTGCATTGCTTTCTTCTTTGCTGACGGAATTTATCAGTCTGCACTCCGGACTTCAATTTCTAAAGAAGTGTTCCTTCTCACATGTTATACTACGACATATGTCCTACATCAAGAAGAAAAAAGTAGAGGAAAAGTTATCACCTCAAATCGTCTCAACGAACCTGTAATTCCATCCAAGAGCGGGTCATTTCCTGATTATCATCTTTCGGTTCCCAATTGATTTTGCTGAAGCAAGCTATAGACTACGAGCAATGAACCGAATAAAGATTTTTTTATCAACCTGGTGTTAGCTTAATTATCCAAGAAGATGATATCAAATAGTTACGCATATATATGTTGAGGGAGGAAAAGCAAAGCATTGGATCGACCCCTCTCAATGCAATTCTGCGACCACGTGAAAAAGATCGGCTATCTTTAAGATTGCAAGGAGATTGGGCTAGATCGTCATTCTATGACACTGATATAGAAGACGAAGTCATAAAGCAGCACTCGAATTGACCCTTTCGTGAACCTGGACCCACGGCCTCTGCATCTCTAAATAGCAACTTCGCACGGTCTGCTTCACGTTCTCTTCATCTCTAACTCCCAGTGTACCATTATTAGACATAACGGTCTGCTATTGTTGGACGCAGCTCGCTAAAGGTTAGAGGTGCAGAGGAGGTGGAGCACGCCGTTTAAGTTGCCAATTAGAGATGCAGAGGCCGCGAGTTCATTGTACCGAAAGGGTTAACACGTGCAACCTGTGGAGACCTTTATGAACGAGGAATGCGAGGAAACGAATCAAACGAAAAAGTGCTGAGATCTGCACAGCAGATGTGATGACGGATCATGTAGAATAATAGATAAATGAATAAGTAAATAAACAAATGGATGTAGCTCTATTTTTTGCAACAAAAGATGAAAACAGAACTAACAAAATGAAAAAGTCTAGAAGCAACACAGAGCATAAAGTTAGGCGGGAAATAAATTTGCTGTCGCTTCAAAGTCTACTAGATTTTTTCAAAATAACCCTCCCCAGACCTACTTTGTAAATGTCAGTACTTCTTGCATTCGATTCGTTTCCTCGCGTTCATTGTCAACAAAAGCCCCCAAATAATTTGCATGTTTCGGGTACTGCTTGAGGATTTCATTTTCCCTCACGAGTGCCGGAGAATGTTAACTGAGACAATCCCTCTTGAGATCATGGTGACAGCCAAGAAGAGGGAAGGAGAGCGGAACTCTGCTTTTTGACAACATGCACAATCACTGCGCTATCCCCCATTAACAATAAAAACAAGTTTTCTAAAGAAGCTATCGTGATAACCTTCCTCTCGAGTGATTTCTTAAGACCACAGGTCAAATTTCAAAATGCCTTGCAATCATTCTTGAGCCGCGTATGTCAGTGATGTCAGTGGTCTGTCAAACAGGGCTGACTTATAGAGCCCGATACACGTGTTTCGATCTTGCAATCTCGTCAGTCGGGCAGTTACCCTTTCTCGTCTTTTGCTAATCTCTATGGGAGCTCCAGTCCCCACACTAAGAGTTAGCGACGACGAATGCTTTACACTCTATGTCCAGTGAAAAACTCACTGAACACAGAGTGTTGTACACTCGATTGCTCGTGGCTAGTATATTCAATACATAATAACCTTTCGAGTGTTTTCTTGAGACCACAGCTCAAATTTCAATATGGCTTGCAATCATTTTCGAGCCACGCATATGTATCGGGCTCTATAAGTCAGCCTTGTTTGACAGATCACTGACATGCGTGGCTTAAAAATGATTGCAAAGCTATCGTAATATTTACTCGAATTAACTTTTGTTCAACAAATCATAACTTCCTGTTCAGGTTGCGCAGCATTAATGTAGCATAATACCTTCCGTGCATATGATTTCTTTCGCCTCAAAATATGGGAACATCCATTGAACTCTTTGAATCGTGATAAAATCATTAAATTTCATATTGTCACATAACCGATTTAATCTATCGTAGGTGACTGGCATTTACTAGCTGCTTCAAATAACACAGTCCATTACGGACTGGAATAGGTTGCTTTAAAACTAGAAGCAACCGCTATCCTCGCGCCATCATACTCAGTGCGTTTCGGGCGGATCGTATTGAATTTGCTGTCCCAAATCCGACATTTTAACCTGGACAACCTAACGGATAGTAGGCGCAGAACCTATTGGAGCAGAATCTCATTATACGATTTGGTCAAATGTGTACAAAAGTGACAATAAGCAGTGACAGTGAAACGCGGAAGACTGTATATTGGGGTTGGCAAGAGATTTTCCGAACTCTTTTGTTGACTAATTTTCCTGCATTCAAGTTTTTGTCTTTACTGTTGTTCAAAGCAGCTTTTGGCGGTTACTTTGATATATAACACTTGTACATTTGTTTTGAGATGGAATCGTCCCAAGAGCAAAAAACGATTGTTTCTGCTACACGAGTATCGCTTGGATTCAAGTGTTGCTTCGCCACGTAACGATACTCGTGTGACATCAACAATCGTATTTCCTCTGGGGGCAATTTCATCTTCGGGCAAATGTATAAGTGTTATATATCAAAACAACCGCAAAAAGCTGCTTAAAACGATATTAAAAACAAGAACTTGAGTGCATAAAAAACAATTAAGAACAAAAGAAGGTCGGAAAAAACCCTTGCCAACCCATTAGAACACGGAGCTCACTCACCTCTTTGCCTCTGCTCTCGATATCGCCGCATTCTTGTTGAACGGATCAACTGACTTCAGTTTTTTGCGGTTCCTCGTAGGAATTCGCTTATGTCGGCCCATTGATGACTGCTCACTTTCCAGCAAAGTTTACTCTTATCTGACTATTACGAACGGGTAATTAAATATTTATCGACAGCATCGTATAGAATTATCATTCGTCTATGTGCGGAAAATTTACTCCGAAAAAACATGGTCAATGTCATCATAACGCTCATCTACTCCGACGCTGTTCCTGACATCGGAAGAAACAATCTGCACGAAGGCGAACCACAGTGGCATTCTTTCCGATTTTCTCCATCAAATGTCGAAAATCCATAATCATAGCATATCTCCTCACCAGCATAAATAATTCTGAAAATAATACATTTACTAGAAATTGTATAGAATATATCACCAACATATATTACATCTCCCAAGTCTCATTAAAGCTAGACAAATAGTCAACCAGTACTCATCCTTCACAGTATAAACCGAATTAACAAAATCCTCATCTCGTTCCTTTACATTGGGCTTGAGGGATTGATCATATGACAGACTAATAGAAGAGATTTTGCCAATAATGACAATGTGAGCGCTTAGTGATCTAACAATGCGGTCCCTAAAAGCACTATCAACTTCGCCAAAAGTTCTTCACTTAACTTGCATTTCTAGCAGTTGCAGGAAATGTATATACGTATATATATATATATGATATATATATATATAATATATATATATATATAGCAATATACATATACAAATTTTATATATACAAGGTGATGCTAAGCGATACGCAAAACTTTACACCTCAGATGAGGGATTCGAACCAATATTCCACCCTTTCCGGAGGTATATGCTAACCAATTACACTACCGAGGCTCCTGTTCTTGCCATCACTCTTTGTGCAGCACAAACTAACCGACTTGTCAGTAACCAGCCGTTAACAGTTCGGCTTGGTAAACATAAATCGCCCTCGAAAAGGATGGAATGCGGGTTCGATTCCATCTAAGAGCCCAATTTTTGTTTATTACTCAACAATATTGGATATATAATTTTGACACTATGATTCCTACGACAGGAATACATTTCTGATCAACAATTCTTCACGTAGAAAGAAGAGATCCTTCCGAAGAATTGTGTATAGCTGACACTTAGAGATCACTGTGGATAAGACTATCGCATGTGGACGATGAAATCATGTTTCCTACTACTGAGCTAACGAGATGAACAAAGTGATTGGGTTGTGCATTAGGATGGGTATTATTGGACTGCACGATCGCGCGATATTAGAATAAAACTGACAATTACTTCTAGAGGAAAACCGTACTGAACACCCTGTTCATGAATACACGCATTGTTTCTCGTCCATTTAGTTAGCCAACACACTCACATAATTCATTTCGGGCGCTATCAATTGAAAATCCACATGCTTTCATTTGCAACAAACTGTGATATGAACACCGGCTATCGATAGTCTTCACTTGTTCTGGTTTGAACATGACGTCTATCGTTTGAAACTGCGAAAAAGTGGACTACAAAGTCACAATGACGATGATGCTATTCTGCTTACGACGATTCCCTCTCAAGAAGCCTCTTCAGTGATCTATCATAGCGAAAGGGTATCTCCTAGATTCAGAACTCGGTACTCAAGCATAGACATATCCCACACCCTCTTTACAAACATCAATTTGTGTGGTTTTAACTCTCATGAACATCGCTAGTTCTGCTATGAAATAAACTCGTCTGAAAGTCTTTATTACTATTTTTCTTGGTCATTATGTGCAGAGAATAGCTCCCGCGAGCAATGCAGGATAGTAAGTATGAAGAATTGAGCTTTCGCGTTGATCATTGTCTGAGAGATGCGCCACGCATTCGTCTTCATGTAGCATCATTGGGGTGATTGAGTGCATATCTGGTCTTTGTAAAGACACGCGGTGACCTATCGTTTGGATCATATCAATACTGCTATCCTCTTAGACAGGTTAAAATCGCCCAGGGTGAAAAGCTTCGTGAGCCGAAGACGCGAGATCGAATCAACGACCATCTCTGTACGTTGCAGGGCACCTTCAACCACTGCTTCACGCGCACCATGACGCCCGATAAAACATCTACTTTGAGGAAAGCCGTTCAGATATTTTAGAGTGTGAGAAAATAGACCACTGAGAGAAAAACGCATTGCGTGCAATGCATTTTTGGCTACTCAGTTCTTTGCGTGAGCGCAATCTACACAAAGCATCCCGGGACACCTGCGTCAACCACTAAAGTTACATTTTCGTCATTTGCTTATGTAACAAGATATATTTGAACAGCCTCGCTCTATTATTTGCTTGCATAGACTTTAGCTATCTAAGTGACACCTACGTTTTCAACAGATCTTCTTCATATGACCCGTCATCAAATTTTGCTATGCGGATCCCAACTTTTCTAGCATTCGATTCATTTCCTCCTATCCATTATCCCAAAGGTCACCAAACATCTCGTTTGTTCCCAGAAACAAGTATTTATCAACCTAGGCATGTGTTTATTGAAAGCTGTTTACTATGTAGCTAGATGTTTACGTATCAACTGTTATCTGCTTTGGTCATAGAAGCGTTTGGCGAGTAAACTGCATGTCAGAATTTGACATTTTCAGGCTCTGAAGAAGGCGATACTACCGAAACATCAGCCATGTACTACTATTGTACTGTGCTACTACTGCGTTCAGTAAGTATTACTATTAACAATTTCGGATCTGCTTGTAAAGTAAAAGACTGATTTCGTGTATTCTTTCAACTAGTAGTTGAGGGATTCATCTTCCTCAAGAGTGTCAAGAATGCTGGTCGAAAAGGACCTTTTCTCAATCTTGAGGATGTTCGAGCTATGACTCTCCCACTTCAGCCGACCGACGAAAAGAAAACAAACCTGTTCGCAAATAATGCTATTCGTGGGATTGTGTATCCTATACGAAATTATGTTTATTGAAAGGTTCGGATCACATCCATGATTGATGAAACGTGCCAAGTTTCCTCGATATCGCGGATCAACGAAAGTCGTTATGATACCACCTAAAATGGAACCATAGCTTGTTTTAATCATTTGCAAATAGTTGTATCAAGCTAAACAAAGAAAAAAAAAGCTAGGATTGATTGACACCAATTATAACTCACCATCACTGTATTCTCTGGCAGTAAAAGTGTAATTGTGGGTATGACTAGATGTAGCTCGTCTTTCTACTTCATCCTTACTCAAAATTTCCCCAGCATATTCACAAACAAATGTGCCTCGTGGAATGACTTCCACGGCTCGAACTCCAAAACCTTTTTCATTGGAACAGTGATATACCTAAAATGGAAAACATCGCCTGTTATCAAAAATGAGTATCAAACAGTTCTGCAGATTACAATAATGAAGTAATGAAAACCATTCTGTAAGTCATCCGTCCAAAATCCCTTTGATTGAATAGTATATCTCCAAGTAAACTAGTAGCTAAGTTCATCAAGCACGGAAACTGTAACTGTTAGGTTGGAAAGAAAGTCTTGGTGAACTCTTACAACTGAAAATTTATGTACGGATTCCAAACAAAAACGATAATAACTCAACAAAGTAGAGTGGTGTGCAAAAACATTTGTGTCAGCCGGTATTCGAACCCAGATTTCACTCTTGCTGGGAGCGCGTGCAGATGCAGAACCGTTCCACTACGGTTCAGCGCGGTTCCCAGAAGGAGTGAGATCTAGGTTCGTATTCCGGCTGACGCAAATGTTTTTGCACACCACTATACGTTATTGGGTTTACTGAAACATCATACCACTGCAATACGAGGTCAAATAAAATGAATTCTGACAATAATAACTATTTTTCAGAATGAAGGACATCGTTTTCTACAACTTTCTGCCATCGGTCCACAAAGTTTGGGACGTGGTCGTATACCACTTCTTCGACTCAGATTCAAAGAACTCTTGACATGTTTCTTCAACTTCATCGAACGATTCAGGCTTTGTTGGACGTTCTGAACGAGGCTTGTTCTCGAGGTCAGAATCTCCGACATCGAAGCGTTCAATCCAGCATCTAGCAGCAGATTTGCTTGTTGTGCTTTCCCCTTCAAGCTCCTTGATTTTACTAACTGCAGCTCGTTGTGAAAGACCCTTTAGTCTGATAATGACGCAACAAAACATGAGCTTCGATTGTATCTTTGGACATGGCGGAAGCTTGTAACAAAGCAAAAATAAAGAAAATAAATAGCCCTTTGATGGGAAAATCCCACATGGGAAACTGTGATATTTTTATGATATGCATGAGAATTATCTCATGCTTATTAAAGTGTCCCAAAACTTTCTTTCCATCCAAGTGTAACAGAAATGGCGTGGCATGCATTTGCCAAGATGACTGATTCAACAGCAAAAAATACCTTATAGAAATTCGTTACGTACTCTAGAGAACCAAAGGTTAACATTGAATTTAGAAGTAAAGGGGGCAATTTTGTTACGAATTTCAACAGAAACTGATGGAGCAACTGAGGACTGAGATTAATGAGTAGATTTGTTCATAACGTGAAAACAATACTACCTCTAGAGCTACTTTGACACCATGCTGAACTACACGATTTCGACATGACTGCAAGCGTCCAGAGCATGAGCACTCGCTGTGACATTCAAGAATTGGAGCTCCACTTGACTTTTCGAGCAGCAACACCGTCGGCTGAATAGTTATCCTGAAATGACACGTACAATGCTACCGAAAATTTCCAGTTGAAAGTTCAAAGCCTTCATTACTAGCCGACAAAAAGAGCTCCTTAGAAATTCATGCTTTTCAAACTGGCAAAAATACCGATCTCCTTAGTCAAATCACACAGTAGTCTCCAACTCCCTTATTTGTCATAGTTCTCCATAGCCATGATACACTTACTTTGAAAAACATTTTTCAAAATGAACATCAAAAATGAAGTTATAGTTAAATGAATACTTTTGGGACCAACTACATTCAAAAGCAGTAGAAGGTACAGCAAATAAGATGTCATAAGTTGCCCTCTTCATTTCATTTCACACGTCTTTGTCAACAACATGAGGTCAAGAAACGTATATGATAAAGATGAATAAAACAAAGTGATTTTGAAAAAAAAAGAATGTCTAAAGCCTAAACGAGGTTGGTACGCCAGGCGGAGGTCACTGACGAGGAGGCCGAAGCCTCCGAAATACCGGTGTATGGACCTGGCGTACCAAGCTCGTTTAGGCTTTAGACATTCTTTTTTTTTTGGAATTATTTTGAATGTTTATTGTGAGGTTATAAAAACACGACCTTATAGATCAAAAGTGATTTTGCTTGCACTGGACAAGTAGAGATTGTTTGAAAGGAAAAAACAATGCTACTCAATGATATATGTCATTGGTTCAACAACAAAAATAGGTTCTTTTCTGTAAGACAGCGACAAATAAAGAATTGGCCACTTTCGCTGAACAATAACGTTTCACAAGAGTGTTGATAATCATTAGAAAGCCTACATCTCTGGCTACCGCGCTACGCAACCGTTCCCTGATAAAACCTTTTTGAAACGCTCTGGCATTCAATATAAAATTACCTTTTACATCAGCGCGCGCGTCGCGTCACTCGCTGGAAGCACGAAAAGCTTATGAACGTGTACAGGAATCTGAATGTGTCAGAATCATACGTTTCAAATAGAAATTCTTTCAATTCGAAGAAAAAAACCCTAAATTGAATAACAAATTTTTACACTCCACATGTGTGACGCGCCATCCCGATCCATCAATTGTCGCTGTAATCCACTGCCAGCTTCCTCTTCCCAGGACACATACTAGCCAACAAACACTGCCGCGTATTTGGAACTCAATTTTATCTTCTCCAAACTACAGTGAAACGGTCTTTCCAGAAAATGAGCTTATCGTTAG